AGATGATTAGCACACTTGGTAAATCCGCTAAAACGTTCGTTTTATATTACATGTTTGTTGTTTTGTATGTCGTACATTTCCTTCCATCTTTTTCTTTTTTCAATCTCATTATCATAAAGTTATAAATCTTTACTCAAGTCGGTTGATTCGATCTATTGAATATTGATCAGAAGACTAGTACCGTGTGTAATTGTACATTCTGAATGACTGCGTACAGTCCAGATTTGGTACCGCAATGTGTAACTTTTGATATTATTGCTTTTTGTATAGTACGATCTTGTTTGCGATAAGTCCATTCTTCAATCAGTTGCGCAATCATGTTATTGGGTTGGAGCACTTCTTGGCTTATTACTTGGTGGTTATCTCTCTGATAAATTTGGTCGGAGAAAGATTTTTATTAGTGGAATTGTTTCTGTAACCCTTGCTACATGGATCATGATTTTCCCAAAGTCTTTTGAATTGTTTATTATTTGTCGGGTCTTAATAGGAATAGGTTCAGGTCAAGTATAGAAAACTTGTGATACACGAAAATATACGTTTTCTTATTTTATTCATAATAACGAGTATTTTAGAGACAAATCTGCTAGTATTCACATTTCTTGAGCATGTTATAAACAACAGACGTGTCAAAACGTAATTTTTATACTCCGATAGGTCTTTACTATAACAACAGTTTTGTTTTGCTGGCGGAATTCACCACAGCGAAGTATCGAGCAAAGATTGGTATTTATTCATTTCTTTTCTGGATAGCTGGACTACTGGTTCTTGCTTTGATTGGGTTCCTTGTTCCTGACTGGAGATATTTTCTCTTAGTGACTGCTTGCTTTGCTGTACCTTGTTTGTTTATTTCTTGGTAAGCGGTTTTGTATAAATTGAATGGAATTGTTTTAATCCAATATTAATGCATTGATTTTACTCCAGTTAAAAATGTTAGACCAAAAATTAATGAATATTTTTCGAACAAATCAAACATAAATTTCAGACCAAACAAAAATTTATCATTGCTGAAAAGTAAAACTTGCCTCTAGAGTATAAATATTTCAAAGTCTTTGCGTTTAGGTTTGTACCTGAAAGTATGCGATGGTTACAGCTTCATGGCCGACATGAGATTGCAAGAAAACAATTAGAAAAAGTAGCTCATTTGAATGGTAAAGAAATGCCAAGTAAAGATTTTAAAATTTGTGAAAACAGAGCAAAAACTGGAAGCTTTAAGCATCTCTTTTCAAATTGGAAATTGGTTAAAATCACACTCATTAATTGGAATATATGGTGTGTATAAGCTGCTGTTCTACTTTGTAACAACATTTTATCAGTTAAGGCTTGATCGAATAAACATTTTTTAATCAGTTTTATTCTGATTTTTTAAAGGTTTTCAAATGCCTTAGTTTACTATGGAGCGTCGTACATTTCTGTTGACATCGGAGGAAGCAGATATCTAAACTTTGCTTTAACAAGTCTTGTCGAGCTACCATCCAACTTATTGTGCATTGTCACTGCTAACAAGTAATGCATAAAAATATGATTATTTAATTGTCTATATATTCTTAGATGTCGGGCTATCGTCAATGCGTAATTACCACAGAATATTTCACATTATGCGCACAATATCAAGAAACATATAAAATTTTATTAAACTTGGCTTACTTATGGCTGTCAGTGACCACGTGACTTTTGTAGAAAGAGAGACATCAATGGTTATTGCTCTTATGTAACAATTTTTATTTAATTCAAATGCTCAACATGCAATTGGTACTAATTCTTTTTTTTAATCACGAATGTCCTTCATAAAACCCTGTTCATTACGTGATAAAAATCATTTAAGAGTTTAAGTACATTTCAAGACTTGTATCATAATAATGCATAATATTACCTGATAGTTTCTATTGAAAACATTCCTTGCCGGTTTTTATTATTTCTAAGGCATTTAAAATTCACGCGATGGAATACAATTAGCAACTGGAATTTCACTTAAAAATTTGAAAATGGATATTTGACATTTTAAAAAATACTTTCTCTGTTGTAGATTTGGTCGAAAGAAAACGGTAGTTGTTTCTCTGATCATGGCATTTATTGCGTCTATCATTTCTGTGTTAATACCAGGTAATCGTTCAAATGATGGTCAAGATCGCTTTTTCTTCACTTCCAAACCCTTGTATATTTTGTACTTTCAGTAGCTTGCATCGCAGACTATATATACTTTCGAGTACTCCAATGAATTTGTAACACTTGATTAACTTATTATTATTGCAGGTAATACTGGGGCAAGAATTATTTTAGCACTTTTGGCAAAATTTTTCATAAACATGTCATTTTCTGGAATTTATATTTGGAGTACTGAAATGTTCCCCACTTGCATCAGGTATTTTTTGAATGGAAATCAACAAAATATACAGCCAACAAACTTCATATTTAACACATCACCATTCACTTTTCAAAACTTTGCACTACCTGCTCTTCCTTGTTCATCTATAATTTGATACTGTTAAGATTTATTTGTCAACAAATATTAGTCTTGCCAAACTCTACATTACCAGGAGATACATCATACTTTCACTTTGTTCCTATTAAATGACAAATATAAAAATTTTCCTCTGTAGAACAATGAGTTTAGGCTCATCTTCGGGTGCAGGAAGATTTGGATCTTTTGCTGCGAGTTACATCGTATGGTTGGTAAGTGGAAACACAACATACTGCACGTAAACCGTAAACAAGTCGGTGTTAGTTTGTTTTTGATTTATTCAAAGATTACTTTTTGATTTGAAGAAAATTACGTATTTCATCTTCTTTTAATGTATTTTTTTAGATTCGTGTTCATCGCATTCTTCCATTTGGAATTATGGGTATAATTTGTCTCCAAGCAGCCATCTTAGCAATATTTCTTCCAGAGACAAAAGGAAAACCAACATCAGAAATACTCGACGACATGTTGCAATTGAGCACAAAGAAAGTGCAATCAGATAATTTGATTGATAAAACTGATTTTAATGCAGACAACTCTGAATAAATCATCTTCAGATGGAATTTTTTTATGTTTATAGGTAGAAATTATGAACATTTAGACCATGTTAGTATAGTCAAACGTTTATTTTGGGCAAAACATAGTCAACGTTAAACTCATTTTTCACGCATGTCACATATTGTCACATATTTTCTTACAAGTTTTTGTCACTTGATGACAAACATCTGTTCAATGGTTTAAATACGTTCATTCGATAGAAGAAAGCTTTGAAGATGGCGGACAAACGGGCATTTAATATTTTTTGCAGACATTTCGTGAAATTTTTAATTATATCAAACAAAATACAACGAAATAAACCTTTGCTGAAATTTAATGATATGCGCATGTAAGAAAGCTATGCGTTTACGTTCATTGGTTCAAGGGCAAATAATTTGTATAAAGTGGAACTAATCAACATGCATGAATTCGACCCGACTTAAAAACATTATCCGAGTGAAATAAATTTGTGATACGTTTATCATTGTATATGGTTGTGTGTAATATGATAATGAAATTCATCATCTAAGTACGTACTTTTTGGAGTCAACCTTTTGATTTAAAGCATGTGCACGACTATAAATTGTATGTCTCTAACTTCATTTGCTCTAGATCTTTTTGATGCATAAATCTCGCTTTGTGAAAATGTAAGTGTGATCGACTAAATTATCTACTTTTCACAAAGAACTATCACTTTCACTTTACGACATGCACTTATAACACTGTTATATATATATATATCTAGAGATGTTGTCATAGTAACGATGCCATTTTGTTTCGCCGCTATTCGCCATAATGGTCCATGCAATTGCTGACAACGAATTTTATAAAACATGAGAAAAAGTTAAAAGCAAATGATCTTTGTTTTGTCTTATTTTAATTTTTTTAACAACACTATTGTTGAACACATATCTAAACGCTGCATTTCTTGCTATTTTGGAAAATTATTTTCTTTTATTTGCTTGATTAAAGTTGACATTTTGTTTCATAAGTATTCTCGGATGAACAATTTTTTTTCTCATTTCTACAACATTTCTTCAAATTTGACATGCTACAAATCTATTTACAATATTTTTTATGGATTATTTCTTCTTTTGTCCATTTATTGTATAACATTTGTTCCTTTTATAGACACCACTCAATTGTTTTTTACGTTTTGTAAAAGTTCTAGAAGATCACATTCCTCAGCTTACCCAAAACTAAGAAAGGGAGGTATAATTCTTCTAAAATATTTGGCTGTATTATGATCAGTTTGCATGATAAGTATATCTGTGTGCCACTGGCTGCACGGACTTCGTCAATATGAATCTCAAAAAAATAAATTATCACACATTCACAGATTCATCAGTCAATGTAGATATTTTACCTGTCTTCTGTTCTGCGGTGTCTATTTTCTCAACAATCTTCTAGAGTCTGGACATCTCTGTCAAAGCATTTGCAGTTTCAGATATTCTTTTCTCTTTACTTACATTGCAACAATCATTCAGTGTTTGTTTTCGCAGTTCCCATTCGACACCCACTCAGTGTTTTTCATCCTTCTTTTGTAGGTCTGCTTGTTTACCAGTAAGAGTCTACTTATTCTATTTATCCAATATACAGAAACTGGTATTGAAACTAATCACAAAAATTCTAGTTTCTGTTTTTTTACCCTTATACAAAGTGATCACACACTGACAAAAAAGCATTAGCTAACTTTTCTGACATTAGATCTTCCCTTTCAATTTGTAGCTACAAGCTATAATATTCACTTTTTAGTTTTTTCGCATTCACATTACTTTTGTGAGCTGGAAGGCCGAGAAAATTCTATATTCTTTTCTCTTTTAGAACGATTTGAGCATGCATAAATCCTGCAAAGTTGACTCCAATGACAACAAACTTTGGCTTCTTAATAAATGTATAGCTATACATGACAGCACCTGATTTGAGATGCACGTCATAACATAAAATTATGAGGATTATGAACACGCACGTCATAATGTAACATAAAACTAACACAAGGAATCTTCAGATCTTGTTGCACATCTCTCAGTGGAGCCAGTGCCATTATTGTCAAGACTAGCTTCATTAACATGTGTTTTGTTCGATATCAAGCAATTTCAACAGATTTCAATAAAGCACGCAAGGTATGTATGTAGATATATACTTATGATTTACTAACTCAATGACTGCGTCACAGACCTGCCTTTAATGAAATAACGAATTTAATTCTGCAACTGTATTGCGACCTTGATTCAGACGCAGATTGTTTGCTGTATTTAGTCCGGTCAGAAATTATATTTGTCACATATGAAACAAAAGGTCATTAATATTTACAGGTTGTAACTGTCAGTGTCTACACCAATAATTTAACCCCAACTAGTTGTGTTGCGTATAAGTTGGAACTTGGAAGACATTTAGAAATATAATTGTTTGATTAAACCATTTTATAAAACGATATATTTTTTCCTAAAAATGAAGGCAGAATTCTTAGATGAAGGTCGTAATACGAAACGAAGATGAAACGCATTATAATCGCAGTTTATTAGTTTAAGTAATACAAAAAAATATTTTACATTTCATTCCGTATTGGAACCGGTACTTCACAAGAACAAGAGGCATACATATATAGATATTTATAGACATGTAAAACACATCGACGTCACAAGTTGGAATGTAATAAATATAATTATATAAATGCGTCTACAAGCTTAAAGAGTTGTCCTTCATGGCGCCATTGCTTCTTCATACCAGACCATTGTGCAAGTCTGCCAGACACAGTATCTCATGATAATAACCATAAATAAAGGATTGCTAAGCAAAAATCATATGTCATGAAATGGTTTAAATGTAACAAAAATGGATTATTTGTTTCACAGTCGTTTTTACAAATTAATTAAAAGGTCTTACAAAACCTAAAACACCATATAAGAAAATAAAAAACATCCTGATCGAAGACTTTTACTTTATTAGATGCAGCTTTCACAACACTGCAATTTTACTCAGTAACTCTCCACTCCCTCTGCATTGTTCTCGTATATATCTAGTACTATACACACACATACAGATACACGTGACGTGACACGTGTTTCCAAATAGAAATACAAATAGATTTTTATGTTTGCTCATAAGTTGGCAAAAGCGATAAGGTTTTTAGAGATGGAATTTTTCATTATAATCGTCCTTTATTAAGTAAAAAACACATAAATGAAAATGGTTTCATCGAATTTCTCAATCATATTTAAATCCATGCAACGGACTAATGAACTGAGTCATGGACCTAGGGTGTTCTTACTGTGTTAAATATTCTTCATTTATTGTGGTATTTATATGGTCATGGCTTTCACTTTTTTCGTCACGTTCCTACGATGGGGCTGCTATAAGAAAAAATTTATGCGCCGTGATATTTATATGCCTTGTGAATTGGTAACAACTTTGAAATTTATTAAAGTAAGAAAACTTGCTTTTAAGGATAAATTTTCATCGTATATAGAAAATATAGAAAATTCAAATTTGAATGTGTTGCCATGACAACAACATGCTTTTTTGTGTCGCTCATCTATTGGAAAATATGAAGATTGTTCTGGTATTTAATTATGTTCACTTTAACAACATATCAAATGCGTTTGGATAAAAATTTAACATAGAAATGTTTAATGAATTGTAATATAGTGAAAGAACTGAAAATGACTCTCTCGATTGATGAAGTATTTCAAGAAATTGGTGAATTTCATAAGTTCCAATGGTTGATGCTCACCATTATTGGTTACACCGTTTTTACAACTGGTACATTTCCTGTGATGATTGTTACATTCATCACTGCAGAACCAAATTGGCAATGTGTGAAAGGATATAACAGTTCAATCTGTAACTTTAACGAATCCATTGGCTTGACCAGTAAATATTATAAAGACAGATGTGACATGCCAAGAGAGGCATGGACATACGTAGAAGGCTTTACATCTACGGTGACGGAGGTAATAAAAGCAAAATTCTTTATTTTATTTGTTGTAAGTGTAATGCTTTTGTTTGCAAGACGTGTGTCATGTGAAATTAAGATTTGCAGTTTTCTTTAGCTAAATGTTATAAGTCTCCGACCAAAACCTGGTCGTATAGAAAAACACCACGATGTTAAAATTTAAGCAATTATTTTTTGTTTTTTAAAATTGGTCATGAAAGATGATTAGCACACTTGGTAAAACCGCTAAAACGTTCGTTTTATATTACATGTTTGTTGTTTTGTATGTCGTACATTTCCTTCCATCGTTTCTTTTTTCAATCTCATTATTATAAAGTCATAAATCTTTACTCAATTCGGTTGATTCGATCTATAGAATATTGATCAGAAGACTAGTACCGTGTGTAATTGTACATTCTGAATGACTGCGTACAGTCCAGATTTGGTCCCGCAATGTGTAACTTTTGATATTATTGCTTTTGTATAGTACGATCTTGTTTGCGATAAGTCCATTCTTCAATCAGTTGCGCAATCATGTTATTGGGTTGGAGCACTTCTTGGCTTATTACTTGGTGGTTATCTCTCTGATAAATTTGGTCGGAGAAAGATTTTTATTAGTGGAATTGTTTCTGTAACCCTTGCTACATGGATCATGATTTTCCCAAAGTCTTTTGAATTGTTTATTATTTGTCGGGTCTTAATAGGAATAGGTTCAGGTCAAGTATAGAAAACTTGTGATACACGAAAATATACGTTTTCTTATTTTATTCATAATAACGAGTATTTTAGAGACAAATCTGCTAGTATTCACATTTCTTGAGCATGTTATAAACAACAGACGTGTCAAAACGTAATTTTTATACTCCGATAGGTCTTTACTATAACAACAGTTTTGTTTTGCTGGCGGAATTCACCACAGCGAAGTATCGAGCAAAGATTGGTATTTATTCATTTCTTTTCTGGATAGCTGGACTACTGGTTCTTGCTTTGATTGGGTTCCTTGTTCCTGACTGGAGATATTTTCTCTTAGTGACTGCTTGCTTTGCTGTACCTTGTTTGTTTATTTCTTGGTAAGCGGTTTTGTATAAATTGAATGGAATTGTTTTAATCCAATATTAATGCATTGATTTTACTCCAGTTAAAAATGTTAGACCAAAAATTAATGAATATTTTTCGAACAAATCAAACATAAATTTCAGACCAAACAAAAATTTATCATTGCTGAAAAGTAAAACTTGCCTCTAGAGTATAAATATTTCAAAGTCTTTGCGTTTAGGTTTGTACCTGAAAGTATGCGATGGTTACAGCTTCATGGCCGACATGAGATTGCAAGAAAACAATTAGAAAAAGTAGCTCATTTGAATGGTAAAGAAATGCCAAGTAAAGATTTTAAAATTTGTGAAAACAGAGCAAAAACTGGAAGCTTTAAGCATCTCTTTTCAAATTGGAAATTGGTTAAAATCACACTCATTAATTGGAATATATGGTGTGTATACGCTGCTGTTCTACTTTGTACCAACATTTTATCAGTTAAGGCTTGATCGAATAAACATTTTTTAATCAGTTTTATTCTGATTTTTTAAAGGTTTTCAAATGCCTTAGTTTACTATGGAGCGTCGTACATTTCTGTTGACATCGGAGGAAACAGATATCTAAACTTTGCTTTAACAAGTCTTGTCGAGCTACCATCCGACTTATTGTGCATTGTCACTGCTAACAAGTAATGCATAAAAATATGATTATTTAATTGTCTATATATTCTTAGATGTCGGGCTATCGTCAATGCGTAATTACCACAGAATATTTCACATTGTGCGCACAATATCAAGAAGCATATAAAATTTTATTAAACTTGGCTTACTTATGGATGTCAGTGACCACGTGACTTTTGTAGAAAGAGAGACATCAATGGTTATTACTCTTATGTAACAATTTCTATTTAATTCAAATGCTCAACATGCAATTGGTACTAATTCTTTTTTTTTTTAATCACGAATGTCCTTCATAAAACCCTGTTCATTACGTGATAAAAATCATTTAAGAGTTTAAGTACATTTCAAGACTTGTATCATAATAATGCATAATATTATCTGATAGTTTCTATTGAAAACATTCGTTGCCGGTTTTTATTATTTCTAAGGCATTTAAAATTCACGCGATGGAATACAATTAGCAAATGGAATTTCACTTAAAAATTTGAAAATGGATATTTGATATTTTAAAAAATACTTTCTCTGTTGTAGATTTGGTCGAAAGAAAACGGTAGTTGTTTCTCTGATCATGGCATTTTTTGCGTCTATCATTTCTGTGTTAATACCAGGTAATTGTTCAAATGATGGTAAAGATCGCTTTTTCTTCACTTCCAAACCCTTGTATATTTTGTACTTTCAGTAGCTTGCATCGCAGACTATATATACTTTCGAGTACTCCAATGAATTTGTAACACTTGATTAACTTATTATTATTGCAGGTAATACTGGGGCAAGAATTATTTTAGCACTTTTGGCAAAATTTTTCATAAACATGTCATTTTCTGGAATTTATATTTGGAGTACTGAAATGTTCCCCACTTGCATCAGGTATTTTTTGAATGGAAATCAACAAAATATACAGCCAACAAACTTCATATTTAACACATCACCATTCACTTTTCAAAACTTTGCACTACCTGCTCTTCCTTGTTCATCTATAATTTGATACTGTTAAGATTTATTTGTCAACAAATATTAGTCTTGCCAAACTCTACATTACCAGGAGATACATCATACTTTCACTTTGTTCCTATTAAATGACAAATATAAAAATTTTCCTCTGTAGAACAATGAGTTTAGGCTCATCTTCGGGTGCAGGAAGATTTGGATCTTTTGCTGCGAGTTACATCGTATGGTTGGTAAGTGGAAACACAACATACTGCACGTAAACCGTAAACAAGTCGGTGTTAGTTTGTTTTTGATTTATTCAAAGATTACTTTTTGATTTGAAGAAAATTACGTATTTCATCTTCTTTTAATGTATTTTTTAGATTCGTGTTCATCGCATTCTTCCATTTGGAATTATGGGTATAATTTGTCTCCAAGCAGCCATCTTAGCAATATTTCTTCCAGAGACAAAAGGAAAACCAACATCAGAAATACTCGACGACATGTTGCAATTGAGCACAAAGAAAGTGCAATCAGATAATTTGATTGATAAAACTGATTTTAATGCAGACAACTCTGAATAAATCATCTTCAGATGGAATTTTTTTATGTTTATAGGTAGAAATTATGAACATTTAGACCATGTTAGTATAGTCAAACGTTTATTTTGGGCAAAACATAGTCAACGTTAAACTCATTTTTCACGCATGTCACATATTGTCACATATTTTCTTACAAGTTTTTGTCACTTGATGACAAACATCTGTTCAATGGTTTAAATACGTTCATTCGATAGAAGAAAGCTTTGAAGATGGCGGACAAACGGGCATTTAATATTTTTTGCAGACATTTCGTGAAATTTTAATTATATCAAACAAAATACAACGAAATAAACCTTTGCTGAAATTTAATGATATGCGCATGTAAGAAAGCTATGCGTTTACGTTCATTGGTTCAAGGGCAAATAATTTGTATAAAGTGGAACTAATCAACATGCATGAATTCGACCCGACTTAAAAACATTATCCGAGTGAAATAAATTTGTGATACGTTTATCATTGTATATGGTTGTGTGTAATATGATAATGAAATTCATCATCTAAGTACGTACTTTTTGGAGTCAACCTTTTGATTTAAAGCATGTGCACGACTATAAATTGTATGTCTCTAACTTCATTTGCTCTAGATCTTTTTGATGCATAAATCTCGCTTTGTGAAAATGTAAGTGTGATCGACTAAATTATCTACTTTTCACAAAGAACTATCACTTTCACTTTACGACATGCACTTATAACACTGTTATATATATATATATCTAGAGATGTTGTCATAGTAACGATGCCATTTTGTTTCGCCGCTATTCGCCATAATGGTCCATGCAATTGCTGACAACGAATTTTATAAAACATGAGAAAAAGTTAAAAGCAAATGATCTTTGTTTTGTCTTATTTTAATTTTTTTAACAACACTATTGTTGAACACATATCTAAACGCTGCATTTCTTGCTATTTTGGAAAATTATTTTCTTTTATTTGCTTGATTAAAGTTGACATTTTGTTTCATAAGTATTCTCGGATGAACAATTTTTTTTCTCATTTCTACAACATTTCTTCAAATTTGACATGCTACAAATCTATTTACAATATTTTTTATGGATTATTTCTTCTTTTGTCCATTTATTGTATAACATTTGTTCCTTTTATAGACACCACTCAATTGTTTTTTACGTTTTGTAAAAGTTCTAGAAGATCACATTCCTCAGCTTACCCAAAACTAAGAAAGGGAGGTATAATTCTTCTAAAATATTTGGCTGTATTATGATCAGTTTGCATGATAAGTATATCTGTGTGCCACTGGCTGCACGGACTTCGTCAATATGAATCTCAAAAAAATAAATTATCACACATTCACAGATTCATCAGTCAATGTAGATATTTTACCTGTCTTCTGTTCTGCGGTGTCTATTTTCTCAACAATCTTCTAGAGTCTGGACATCTCTGTCAAAGCATTTGCAGTTTCAGATATTCTTTTCTCTTTACTTACATTGCAACAATCATTCAGTGTTTGTTTTCGCAGTTCCCATTCGACACCCACTCAGTGTTTTTCATCCTTCTTTTGTAGGTCTGCTTGTTTACCAGTAAGAGTCTACTTATTCTATTTATCCAATATACAGAAACTGGTATTGAAACTAATCACAAAAATTCTAGTTTCTGTTTTTACCCTTATACAAAGTGATCACACACTGACAAAAAGCATTAGCTAACTTTTCTGACATTAGATCTTCCCTTTCAATTTGTAGCTACAAGCTATAATATTCACTTTTAGTTTTTTCGCATTCACATTACTTTTGTGAGCTGGAAGGCCGAGAAAATTCTATATTCTTTTCTCTTTTAGAACGATTTGAGCATGCATAAATCCTGCAAAGTTGACTCCAATGACAACAAACTTTGGCTTCTTAATAAATGTATAGCTATACATGACAGCACCTGATTTGAGATGCACGTCATAACATAAAATTATGAGGATTATGAACACGCACGTCATAATGTAACATAAAACTAACACAAGGAATCTTCAGATCTTGTTGCACATCTCTCAGTGGAGCCAGTGCCATTATTGTCAAGACTAGCTTCATTAACATGTGTTTTGTTCGATATCAAGCAATTTCAACAGATTTCAATAAAGCACGCAAGGTATGTATGTAGATATATACTTATGATTTACTAACTCAATGACTGCGTCACAGACCTGCCTTTAATGAAATAACGAATTTAATTCTGCAACTGTATTGCGACCTTGATTCAGACGCAGATTGTTTGCTGTATTTAGTCCGGTCAGAAATTATATTTGTCACATATGAAACAAAAGGTCATTAATATTTACAGGTTGTAACTGTCAGTGTCTACACCAATAATTTAACCCCAACTAGTTGTGTTGCGTATAAGTTGGAACTTGGAAGACATTTAGAAATATAATTGTTTGATTAAACCATTTTATAAAACGATATATTTTTTCCTAAAAATGAAGGCAGAATTCTTAGATGAAGGTCGTAATACGAAACGAAGATGAAACGCATTATAATCGCAGTTTATTAGTTTAAGTAATACAAAAAAATATTTTACATTTCATTCCGTATTGGAACCGGTACTTCACAAGAACAAGAGGCATACATATATAGATATTTATAGACATGTAAAACACATCGACGTCACAAGTTGGAATGTAATAAATATAATTATATAAATGCGTCTACAAGCTTAAAGAGTTGTCCTTCATGGCGCCATTGCTTCTTCATACCAGACCATTGTGCAAGTCTGCCAGACACAGTATCTCATGATAATAACCATAAATAAAGGATTGCTAAGCAAAAATCATATGTCATGAAATGGTTTAAATGTAACAAAAATGGATTATTTGTTTCACAGTCGTTTTTACAAATTAATTAAAAGGTCTTACAAAACCTAAAACACCATATAAGAAAATAAAAAACATCCTGATCGAAGACTTTTACTTTATTAGATGCAGCTTTCACAACACTGCAATTTTACTCAGTAACTCTCCACTCCCTCTGCATTGTTCTCGTATATATCTAGTACTATACACACATACAGATACACGTGACGTGACACGTGTTTCCAAATAGAAATACAAATAGATTTTATGTTTGCTCATAAGTTGGCAAAAGCGATAAGGTTTTAGAGATGGAATTTTTCATTATAATCGTCCTTTATTAAGTAAAAAACACATAAATGAAAATGGTTTCATCGAATTTCTCAATCATATTTAAATCCATGCAACGGACTAATGAACTGAGTCATGGACCTAGGGTGTTCTTACTGTGTTAAATATTCTTCATTTATTGTGGTATTTATATGGTCATGGCTTTCACTTTTTTCGTCACGTTCCTACGATGGGGCTGCTATAAGAAAAAATTTATGCGCCGTGATATTTATATGCCTTGTGAATTGGTAACAACTTTGAAATTTATTAAAGTAAGAAAACTTGCTTTTAAGGATAAATTTTCATCGTATATAGAAAATATAGAAAATTCAAATTTGAATGTGTTGCCATGACAACAACATGCTTTTTTGTGTCGCTCATCTATTGGAAAACATGAAGATTGTTCTGGTATTTAATTATGTTTACTTTAACAACATATCAAATGCGTTTGGATAAAAATTTAACATAGAAATGTTTAATGAATTGTAATATAGTGAAAGAACTGAAAATGACTCTCTCGATTGATGAAGTATTTCAAGAAATTGGTGAATTTCATAAGTTCCAATGGTTGATGCTCACCATTATTGGTTACACCGTTTTTGCAACTGGTACATTTCCTGTGATGATTGTTACATTCATCGCTGCAGAACCAAATTGGCAATGTGTGAAAGGATATAACAGTTCAATCTGTAATTTTAACGAATCCATTGGCTTGACCAGTAAATATTATAAAGACAGATGTGACATGCCAAGAGAGGCATGGACATACGTAGAAGGCTTTACATCTACGGTGACGGAGGTAATAAAAGCAAAACTCTTTATTTTATTTGTTGTAAGTGTAATGCTTTTGTTTGCAAGACGTGTGTCATGTGAAATTAAGATTTGCGATTTTCTATAGCTAAATGTTATAAGTTTCCGACCAAAAGCTGGTCGTATAGAAAAACACCACGATGTTAAAATGTAAGCAATTAGTTTTTTGTTTTTTAAAATTGGTCATGAAAGATGATTAGCACACTTGGTAAAACCGCTAAAACGTTCGTTTTATATTACATGTTTGTTGTTTTGTATGTCGTACATTTCCTTCCATCGTTTCTTTTTTCAATCTCATTATTATAAAGTCATAAATCTTTACTCAATTCGGTTGATTCGATCTATAGAATATTGATCAGAAGACTAGTACCGTGTGTAATTGTACATTCTGAATGACTGCGTACAGTCCAGATTTGGTCCCGCAATGTGTAACTTTTGATATTATTGCTTTTTGTATAGTACGATCTTGTTTGCGATAAGTCCATTCTTCAATCAGTTGCGCAATCATGTTATTGGGTTGGAGCACTTCTTGGCTTATTACTTGGTGGTTATCTCTCTGATAAATTTGGTCGGAGAAAGATTTTTATTAGTGGAATTGTTTCTGTAACCCTTGCTACATGGATCATGATTTTCCCAAAGTCTTTTGAATTGTTTATTATTTGTCGGGTCTTAATAGGAATAGGTTCAGGTCAAGTATAGAAAACTTGTGATACACGAAAATATACGTTTTCTTATTTTATTCATAATAACGAGTATTTTAGAGACAAATCTGCTAGTATTCACATTTCTTGAGCATGTTATAAACAACAGACGTGTCAAAACGTAATTTTTATACTCCGATAGGTCTTTACTATAACAACAGTTTTGTTTTGCTGGCGGAATTCACCACAGCGAAGTATCGAGCAAAGATTGGTATTTATTCATTTCTTTTCTGGATAGCTGGACTACTGGTTCTTGCTTTGATTGGGTTCCTTGTTCCTGACTGGAGATATTTTCTCTTAGTGACTGCTTGCTTTGCTGTACCTTGTTTGTTTATTTCTTGGTAAGCGGTTTTGTATAAATTGAATGGAATTGTTTTAATCCAATATTAATGCATTGATTTTACTCCAGTTAAAAATGTTAGACCAAAATTAATGAATATTTTTCGAACAAATCAAACATAAATTTCAGACCAAACAAAAATTTATCATTGCTGAAAAGTAAAACTTGCCTCTAGAGTATAAATATTTCAAAGTCTTTGCGTTTAGGTTTGTACCTGAAAGTATGCGATGGTTACAGCTTCATGGCCGACATGAGATTGCAAGAAAACAATTAGAAAAAGTAGCTCATTTGAATGGTAAAGAAATGCCAAGTAAAGATTTTAAAATTTGTGAAAACAGAGCAAAAACTGGAAGCTTTAAGCATCTCTTTTCAAATTGGAAATTGGTTAAAATCACACTCATTAATTGGAATATATGGTGTGTATACGCTGCTGTTCTACTTTGTACCAACATTTTATCAGTTAAGGCTTGATCGAATAAACATTTTTTAATCAGTTTTATTCTGATTTTTTAAAGGTTTTCAAATGCCTTAGTTTACTATGGAGCGTCGTACATTTCTGTTGACATCGGAGGAAACAGATATCTAAACTTTGCTTTAACAAGTCTTGTCGAGCTACCATCCGACTTATTGTGCATTGTCACTGCTAACAAGTAATGCATAAAAATATGATTATTTAATTGTCTATATATTCTTAGATGTCGGGCTATCGTCAATGCGTAATTACCACAGAATATTTCACATTGTGCGCACAATATCAAGAAGCATATAAAATTTTATTAAACTTGGCTTACTTATGGATGTCAGTGACCACGTGACTTTTGTAGAAAGAGAGACATCAATGGTTATTACTCTTATGTAACAATTTCTATTTAATTCAAATGCTCAACATGCAATTGGTACTAATTCTTTTTTTTAATCACGAATGTCCTTCATAAAACCCTGTTCATTACGTGATAAAAATCATTTAAGAGTTTAAGTACATTTCAAGACTTGTATCATAATAATGCATAATATTATCTGATAGTTTCTATTGAAAACATTCGTTGCCGGTTTTTATTATTTCTAAGGCATTTAAAATTCACGCGATGGAATACAATTAGCAAATGGAATTTCACTTAAAAATTTGAAAATGGATATTTGATATTTTAAAAAATACTTTCTCTGTTGTAGATTTGGTCGAAAGAAAACGGTAGTTGTTTCTCTGATCATGGCATTTTTTGCGTCTATCATTTCTGTGTTAATACCAGGTAATTGTTCAAATGATGGTAAAGATCGCTTTTCTTCACTTCCAAACCCTTGTATATTTTGTACTTTCAGTAGCTTGCATCGCAGACTATATATACTTTCGAGTACTCCAATGAATTTGTAACACTTGATTAACTTATTATTATTGCAGGTAATACTGGGGCAAGAATTATTTTAGCACTTTTGGCAAAATTTTTCATAAACATGTCATTTTCTGGAATTTATATTTGGAGTACTGAAATGTTCCCCACTTGCATCAGGTATTTTTTGAATGGAAATCAACAAAATATACAGCCAACAAACTTCATATTTAACACATCACCATTCACTTTTCAAAACTTTGCACTACCTGCTCTTCCTTGTTCATCTATAATTTGATACTGTTAAGATTTATTTGTCAACAAATATTAGTCTTGCCAAACTCTACATTACCAGGAGATACATCATACTTTCACTTTGTTCCTATTAAATGACAAATATAAAAATTTTCCTCTATAGAACAATGAGTTTAGGCTCATCTTCGGGTGCAGGAAGATTTGGATCTTTTGCTGCGAGTTACATCGTATGGTTGGTAAGTGGAAACACAACATACTGCACGTAAACCGTAAACAAGTCGGTGTTAGTTTGTCTTTGATTTATTCAAAGATTACTTTTTGATTTGAAGAAAATTACGTATTTCATCTTCTTTTAATGTATTTTTTTAGATTCGTGTTCATCGCATTCTTCCATTTGGAATTATGGGTATAATTTGTCTCCAAGCAGCCATCTTAGCAATGTTTCTTCCAGAGACAAAAGGAAAACCAACATCAGAAATACTCGACGACATGTTGCAAGAGAGCACAAAGAAAGTGCAATCAGATAATTTGATTGATAAAACTGATTTTAATGCAGACAACTCTGAATAAATCATCTTCAGATGGAATTTTTTTATGTTTATAGGTAGAAATTATGAACATTTAGACCATGTTAGTATAGTCAAACGTTTGTTTTGGGCAAAACATAGTCAACGTTAAACTCATTTTTCACGCATGTCACATATTGTCACATATTTTCTTACAAGTTTTGTCACTTGATGACAAACATCTGTTCAATGGTTTAAATACGTTCATTCGATAGAAGAAAGCTTTGAAGATGGCGGACAAACGGGCATTTAATACTTTTTGCAGACATTTCGTGAAATTTTTAATTATATCAAACAAAATACAACGAAATAAACCTTTGCTGAAATTTAATGATATGCGCATGTAAGAAAGCTATGCGTTTACGTTCATTGGTTCAAGGGCAAATTTGTGTAAAGTAGAACTAATCAACATGCATGAATTCGCTTAAAAACATTATCCGAGTGAAATAAATTTGTGATACGTTTATCATTGTATTTGGTTGTGTGTAATATGATAATGAAATTCATCATCCAAGTACGTCCTTTTTGGAGTCAACCTTTTGATTTAAAGCATGTGCACGACTATAAATTGTATGTCTCTAACTTCATTTGCTCTAGATCTTTTTGATGCATAAATCTCGCTTTGTGAAAATGTAAGTGTGATCGACTAAATTATCTACTTTTCACAAAGAACTATCACTTTCACTTTACGACATGCACTCAAGAGATGTTGTCATAGTAACGATGCCATTTTGTTTCGCCGCTATTCGCCATAATGGTCCATGCAATTGCTGACAACGAATTTTATAAAACATGGGAAAAAGTTAAAAGCAAATGATCTTTGTTTCGTCTTATTTTAATTTTTTTAACAACACTATTGTTGAACACATATCTAAACGCTGCATTTCTTGCTATTTTGGAAAATTATTTTCTTTTATTTGCTTGATTAAAGTTGACATTTTGTTTCATAAGTATTCTCGGATGAACAATTTTTTTTCTCATTTCTACAACATTTCTTCAAATTTGACATGCTACAAATCTATTTACAATATTTTTTATGGATTATTTCTTCTTTTGTCCATTTATTGTACAACATTTGTTCCTTTTATAGACACCACTCAATTGTTTTTTACGTTTTGTAAAAGTTCTAGAAGATCACATTCCTCAGCTAACCCAAAACTAAGAAAGGGAGGTATAATTCTTCTAAAATATTTGGCTGTATTATGATCAGTTTGCATGATAAGTATATCTGTGTGCCACTGGCTGCACGGACTTCGTCAATATGAATCTCAAAAAAATAAATTATCACACATTCACAGATTCATCAGTCAATGTAGATATTTTACCTGTCTTCTGTTCTGCGGTGTCTATTTTCTCAACAATCTTCTACAGTCTGGACATCTCTGTCAAAGCATTTGCAGTTTCAGATATTTTTTCTCTTTACTTACATTGCAACAATCATTCAGTGTTTGTTTTCGCAGTTCCCATTCGACACCCACTCAGTGTTTTTCATCCTTCTTTTGTAGGTCTGCTTGTTTACCAGTAAGAGTCTACTTATTCTATTTATCCAATATACAGAAACTGGTATTGAAACTAATCACAAAAATTCTAGTTTCTGTTTTTTTACCCTTATACAAAGTGATCACACACTGACAAAAAAGCATTAGCTAACTTTTCTGACATTAGATCTTCCCTTTCAATTTGTAGCTACAAGCTATAATATTCACTTTTTAGTTTTTTTTCGCATTCACATTACTTTTGTGAGCTGGAAGGCCGAGAAAATTCTATATTCTTTTCTCTTTTAGAACGATTTGAGCATGCATAAATCCTGCAAAGTTGACTCCAATGACAACAAACTTTGGCTTCTTAATAAATGTATAGCTATACATGACAGCACCTGATTTGAGATGCACGTCATAACATAAAATTATGAGGATTATGAACACGCACGTCATAATGTAACATAAAACTAACACAAGGAATCTTCAGATCTTGTTGCACATCTCTCAGTGGAGCCAGTGCCATTATTGTCAAGACTAGCTTCATTAACATGTGTTTTGTTCGATATCAAGCAATTTCAACAGATTTCAATAAAGCACGCAAGGTATGTATGTAGATATATACTTATGATTTACTAACTCAATGACTGCGTCACAGACCTGCCTTTAATGAAATAACGAATTTAATTCTGCAACTGTATTGCGACCTTGATTCAGACGCAGATTGTTTGCTGTATTTAGTCCGGTCGGAAATTATATTTGTCACATATGAAACAAAAGGTCATTAATATTTACAGGTTGTAACTGTCAGTGTCTACACCAATAATTTAACCCCAACTAGTTGTGTTGCGTATAAGTTGGAACTTGGAAGACATTTAGAAATATAATTGTTTGATTAAACCATTTTATAAAACGATATATTTTTTCCTAAAAATGAAGGCAGAATTCTTAGATGAAGGTCGTAATACGAAACGAAGATGAAACGCATTATAATCGCAGTTTATTAGTTTAAGTAATACAAAAAAATATTTTACATTTCATTCCGTATTGGAACCGGTACTTCACAAGAACAAGAGGCATACATATATAGATATTTATAGACATGTAAAACACACATCGACGTCACAAGTTGGAATGTAATAAATATAATTATATAAACACGTCTACAAGCTTAAAGAGTTGTCCTTCATGGCGCCATTGCTTCTTCATACCAGACCATTGTGCAAGTCTGCCAGACACAGTATCTCATGATAATAACCATAAAAAAATCATATGTCATGAAATGGTTTAAATGTAACAAAAATGGATTATTTGTTTCACAGTCGTTTTTACAAATTAATTAAAAGGTCTTACAAAACCTAAAACACCATGTAAGAAAACAAAAAACATCCTGATCGAAGACTTTTACTTTGTTAGATGCAGCTTTCACAACACTGCAATTTTACTCAGTAACTCTCCACTCCCTCTGCATTGATCTCGTATATATCTAGTACTATACACACACATACAGATACACGTGACGTGACACGTGTTTCCAAATAGAAATACAAATAGATTTTTATGTTTGCTCATAAGTTGGCAAAAGCGATAAGGTTTTTAGAGATGGAATTTTTCATTATAATCGTCCTTTATTAAGCAAAACACATAAATGAAAATGGTTTCATCGAATTTCTCAATCATATTTAAATCCATGCAACGGACTAATGAACTGAGTCATGGATCTAGGGTGTTCTTACTATGTTAAATATTCTTCATTTATTATGGTATTTATATGGTCATGGCTTTCACTTTTTTCGTCACGTTCCTACGATGGGGCTGCTATAAGAAAAAATTTATGCGCCGTGATATTTATATGCCTTGTGAATTGGTAAAAACTTTGAAATTTATTAAAGTAAGAAAACTTGCTTTTAAGGATAAATTTTCATCGTATATAGTCAATATAGAAAATTCAAATTCGAATGTGTTGCCATGACAGCAACATGCTTTTTTGTGTCGCTCATCTATTGGAAAATAAGAAGATTGTTTTGGTATTTAATTATGTTCACTTTAACAACATATCAAATGCGTTTGGATAAAAATTTAACATAGAAATGTTTAATGAATTGTAATATAGTGAAAGAACTGAAAATGACTCTCTCGATTGATGAAGTATTTCAAGAAATTGGTGAATTTCATAAGTTCCAATGGTTGATGCTCACCATTATTGGTTACACCGTTTTTGCAACTGGTACATTTCCTGTGATGATTGTTACATTCATCACTGCAGAACCAAATTGGCAATGTGTGAAAGGATATAACAGTTCAATCTGTAATTTTAACGAATCCATTGGTTTGACCAGTAAATATTATAAAGACAGATGTGACATGCCAAGAGAGGCATGGACATATGTAGAAGGCTTTACATCTACTGTGACAGAGGTAATACAAGCAAAATTTTGACTTTCTATAAATTTTGCGTATCTAATAGTCCTGCTCTTTCATTCCAGTAGAACTAAAAAAATCCTGTACAAAGAAAGTTTGCAAATGTCCTCATTTCAAATTTGCATATTTGCTCTGTTTTTACAGCTTCTGCAATGTACAATTATCATGACCATTATTTTAGCTCTTTTTCAAAACATTATTAAGTTTATTGTATTTCGACATACGTCACGAGTTAAATTATCAGCACGTGCAGTGATAAGCAGGAAATTTCTTGAATAAAACGTGTCCTTATACATACACCTTTATACCTCTAACGTCACGAATATCCTACTCGAGCACACACATAGTAAATAATTTGCCACGACTTCTACTTATTTTAGTAGTTATTTCTTCATTGCGTACCAAATTTTATAATCTGTCTAATAAAAACATTCATAATGCTTTGTCTAACATTTTTTAATATTATCGATTTTTGTTTAGTATGATTTGGTGTGTGATAAGTCCATTCTTCAATCAGTTGCGCAATCATGTTATTGGGTTGGAGTACTTCTTGGCTTATTACTTGGTGGTTATCTCTCTGATAAATTTGGTCGAAGAAAGATTTTTATTTGTGGAGTAATTTCTGTAACTGTTGCAACATGGATCATGATTTTCCCGAAGTCTTTTGTAGTGTTTATTGTTTGTCGAGTTTTTATAGGAATAAGTTCAGGTCAAGTAAAGAAAACTTGTGATACACGAAAATATATAGATTTTTTTATTTTAGACATAATTGCGCGTGTTTTAGACTTAACAAATCTGCTTGCATTTACATTTTTTCAAACAGGTTATAAACAACAAAGTTGTCAAACTATAATTTTTATTATCCCACAGGAATTTATTATACCGTCGCTTTTGTTTTGCTCGCGGAATTCACCACAGCGAAGTATCGAGCAAGGATTAGTATTTATTCATTTCTTTTCTGGATAGCTGGACTACTGGTTCTTGCTTTGATTGGATACCTTGTTCCTGACTGGAGACATTTTCTCTTAGTTACTGCTTGCTTTGCTGTACCTTGTTTGTTTATTTCTTGGTAAGCAGTTTTGTATAAATTGAGTGGAATTGTTTTAATCCAATATTAATTCATTGATTTTACTCCATTTGAATGCGTACGTGTCTAAAATCAAATTCTTGTCAAACAGGTCAAACATAAAAGTCAATCAAGACATAAATTTCTCATTTCTAATGTGCCTCAAAAATAAAAGTTGCTTCTCGAGTATTATAATTTTTCAATTTTTTCGAGGCTTGTCCCGGAAAGCATTCGTTGGTTGCAACTTCATGGAAAAGATGACGTGGCAAAAAAACAATTAGAGAAAGTTGCTCACATAAATGGGAAAGAAATGCCAAGTGGAGATTTGGAAATTTTTGAAAACACTGCACAATCTGGAAGCCTTAAGCATCTTTTCAATTGGAAACTTTCTAAAACCTTACTTATTTCATGGAATCTATGGTGAGTGTATTGCTCTTCTACTTTGTAGCAACATTTTTGCAGTTAGCTGAAGCTAGAAAATATGTACCGAGATTTGACGTTTTCTTTCTGGTTGCCTAGGTTTTCCACTGCCTTAGTTTACTATGGAATTTCTTACAGCTCAGTTGACATTGGTGGAAACAGATATCTAAATTTTGCTTTAACAAGCATTGTCGAGTTACCATCCTACATATTGTGTATGGTCACTGCTAACAAGTATTGTTTAAAAAGATGTTTCTTAATTAAGCTACATGCATATTTTTATTTGTCTAACTATTGATAAAGAATTCCCAGCTTATTTCTCTATATTTTAGATTGTGCGCAGAATATAATATAGCATCCAAAAACTTATTAAATTTTGTTTCCTTCTTAATATGGCAGTCATTGATCACGTGACTTTTATCCACCATTATATTTGAAATAACTGTGATAGCTTTCTTTCAATTCAATCGTTCACATGCTATTTTTACCATTTGGGCGCAACGTTCTTTGTAAGCCCTGCTCATTACTCGATGGAAATAATTTAAGAGTGTAAGAGCAACCCAGTCTTATAATATCATATAATGTTGATTTTAGCAGAAAAAATTGCTGTAATTTGTTTAATTAATTTAATTTATTTAACTACTTCAAAAATTCATTATTTTTGTCTTGATAAATTGACGGGAAATTCAAAAACATATAAATATATGATATTGTGAACGTACGTTCTGTTTTGTAGATTTGGACGGAAAAAAACAGTGATTGTTGCTCTGATTATGGCTTTCTTGGCTTCTCTTATATCTGTTTTGATACCAGATGATCATTCAAATAATGGTACAGATTACTCACTGTTTCTGCTATGATTTTTTAAACAACTTTTTTTCATTACAATGCTTTGACATTTTCCATAATTTACTTTTATTAATTCATACTTACATTGCAGGGTATAATGGTGCAAGGATTTTTTTGACGTTTTTGGCAAAGTTTTTCATCTGCATGTCATTTTCTGGAATTTATATTTGGAATTTAGAATTGTTCCCTACTTGTATCAGGTATTTGTTGAATGGAATCGACATACTATACAAACAATTAACTTTCATGTCTCGTTTATAGTCCTACACTTTTCAAAACTTAATAGACTTTGTGTATTCGATAACTAATATTATACATGTACAACTTAACTTTAGCAGAAAATAGAAAACATACTAGAGGTTTTACTGTTAACAACTGCGTGATATTCATTAAGTACTAAAGAATTTTTTCCTTAGAACAATGAGTTTAAGCACATCTTCGGGTGCAGGAAGATTTGGATCTTTTGCTGCAAGTTACATCGTATGGCTGGTATGTGGAAACGCAACATACTGTAAACATGTGCCTTAATTTCGGAAAAATGCTAAAGATTACAGGAATTTACTGTTTGATTTGAAGAAAATTATGTATTTCATGTTCTTTTATATGTATTTTTTTAGATTCGTGTTAATCCCATTCTTCCATATGGGATTATGGGTATAATTTGTCTCCAAGCAGCCATCTTGGTAATGTTTCTTCCCGAGACAAAAGGAAAACCAACATTAGAAACACTCGATGACATGTTACAAGACAGCACAAAGAAAGTGCAATCAGATAATTCGATTGATAAAACTGATTTTAATGCAGACAACAATGAATAAATTATCTTATTTTTTATCTAAATTTTTTATTTTCAATCCTTCGCTCGGTTATAATTACAATGATTCTGAACTTTTATGCGGCGTTAGTTTATTGTAACATTTGTTCAGGCGTAACAAAGTTATGAATAAATTTTTCTTCTGTCAAATCGTCTTTTCTTGCGGTTGATAACTCTACAACTTTTGTTCAATAACTATAAAGACTACATACGATGATCATACAAAATCAAAGCCATGAGCTGGTATATTTGTTTACGTTTTTGTATCTGTCCTTTAAAAAATTGGCCTGACAACGAGAATAAATCCAGTATATTCTTAGATACTCTAATTATGATAGAATTAATGCTATATCTAGGATTTATGAATTTCGTTCTCTGAAATGTCATTTCCAGTAATTCTGAGAACCGAATTTAAAATAACCTTTTGCTCTCTAGTACATAATAATTCAATTGTTCAGGAGAGCAATAAGTTAGAACTAAATTCTGAACACATACCATATACAGCTTTATAAATTATATAGCTGATGGTACAATAATGGAAGGCAGTCAAAGATGGAGGAATTTAGCTAAGTTACTTTTCCCAGTAGAATAAGTTGATTATAACTTGTGCAGAAATATGTAAGTATCAAAACAATAATGACATTCATAAACACAAAATGTGCAACCATAAACAATAAAGAAGTGTTCATTGGTGTTTGTGTGAAAAAAATGAAGAATCCCAAAGGTGTTAGGTTTTCAGTTTTATTTAAAATTCATATTTTTGCATGGCATTTTCATGCTAGCTATGCTTAATTTCATCACTTGTGTTATATTCCAGCTGTGTTCGGGTTTGTTGCGATTTCTGAGAAGTAATGGACTTTAAAGATTTTCAGAACACAATTGATGCTGAAAAAAGCGTCTAATGGCACAAAATATTTGTTCAAATGTACATTCACTGTCGATGAGAAAGATAGCTTAAGCTCTGTATCGTTGTTTGATCAGTGTTTGAACATTGCTTTGGGATCGCCAAGTTTTACTTGGAAAAGAGCTCTGCTTTTGCTCTTTGGAGGGGCAATAGCACTGAAATCTAAGATTCAATCACCTTATATTCTTGACTTGCAACCATTCTTTTAAGATTTGCCAAACAATGCTGCTCGCCCACGCCGGCTGGTGCCAACAATAACTCTGATAAAATATTCTTTTGTATCAGACTACCAACATGGCTGAATTACAAGTCAATAATTGGAGTCAGCATGTAACGAGCAGTATGAGAAATATTTTGTCGTGAAATTGAGCAGTATATCATTGCAATTTAAAAGTAAGTAAAATATGAATGTAAAGTAAATACAGGCTCATAGCATGATCTCTGAATGAGAAACCTCCTTTCTAATTTACCGGATGTACCTGAATTTACAGCCCATTTAATACAGGGTGTCCGCTTAATACAGGTTTGACTGTAGCTGTTAGTTAGGTTTCTTACGGTCTACGTAACATCAAAGAAAACCGACTTATAATTATTATAATACATAAATGAAATAACAATAATATCAGTTAAGAAATAAAAGATATATACTGTATTTGCACATGTTTATGCAAACTGAGCAACAACAATTGCTGGTATCAACCAAGAACCTGTTTGTGCATATCTCTGTTTTCTAATAAAAGTATAACTAACATATAAATCACATTGAGCTATATGCCGACAACCTTAAAGTAACACGAAGAGTATTAATTCCAATTCAAATCGTAAAAATTACATTTCTGTTTTATAAATCACTGTTTTAAGTGATAAAGTTTTGCCAGAAAAATTTATTTATGAAAAATAAGCTGCTCAATATTGCTGTCTAACTTCAGTGTGTATATAGTCTATTTAAAAGGACTGCATTTATATTGTTGTGTCATTTTAGTAGTAACAAAAATCTCAGAAGTCTTTATCATTAACGTTTGTCGTTCTTAACATGTAAAACTGAGCAACCGATGTTCGATATGTTTATATACAACACTTCCCTAAGTCAACATGAGCTATAATTGACTGATTTTTCTGTCCAATAAGCCACAATAAACTTCACACAAGCTTCAGTAAATATGCTTACCACACAGACTGGCAGATGGTCATCACTATACCATACATTTTACAAGCAAATTACTTTCAAGAAGGACAAAAAATGTTTCACAATATCGGTTTTATCGTCAAACCTCGGTGATTCCAAGTGACCTTTACCTAGACATGAAAATCTGCTAGTATAATATAGCGACATGAAAATAAAAAGTGTATATTGCCTTTCCCTTGTAAAAAAGTACTTGCATGTGCACGCCAGGCACGTCGATTCCGTTCGAAAGACTTTTTCTAAAACATGAAGGCTGAGAGCTCATCACAGCAATCAGCATGCCGTAACTATTAAACCGAAAAATATGACGGTGATGATTTAAATTTCTTAAACTAAAACCTATTTAACCTGGGTCGTTACTTGACATGTGGTTGTTAGTTGTCGAAGGTGATTACTGACCTTGTTGTAAAAAATTATCATAGTGACCTTGCTTCTGTTTGTATTTAGCCATCTGTCGTTGAAAACAATCTATAATCATCTCGACGACAAAATCGCTATACATGGCATTATAATATTGCTAGAGTCCAATACAATATACGTAGGCTGTGTTTTCAAGTATAGTTAATTGAAGAATGTTTGACAAACCTATCATGTGCTGCAATTTAAGGTGCCTTTACAGAGCAGGTTATTCTTACGCAATATAGCTTCTATAGTATGTCTTTAGGCCAAAAATTGATATACCAAATCTTATTGACTTTATACGCTCAGTCCACTGCATTGAGGTTATATGAAGATAAATTTTGTTCAAAATTTGCGATCAAACTCATCTACTTGTTCTGGGGGCGGATCCTTCGCTAATCAAAATTAATTTTTAAGGTGCTCAATTAACTTCTAAACAAAACTATTAGATTTTAATACCTAAAGATTAAAAATTAACCAATCCAGTTGCCTCTAAGTTCATTGGAAATATAAATATATCCAAAAATTAGTTTCAGTATTTTATTTTGACTGGTTCACAAGTTTCGAGTAATTATCTTGATCTGTGAATCTAGCATGCATGCTTGTTAAAAAGAGAATGTCCTATTTAAATTTTATTCTATCTGGTTTGGATGGCTCCCATATTTAGAAACTTTGGCTGTTTCAATTCTCAACTTTTAAGGGCCCCAACAAACTATACCAGCATATTTTGGAATGTAAAGTACAAAGTATTTAAAATGCTTTCTCGTAATTTAACGTTCAATTTCATTGTATTCTGCGCAATACTTAAAACATTGAAGGATTTATATCATCAAAAATAAAAATTTACACAAAATTTATTTCATAAACAAGTTAAGTTCAAGTTAAATAATTTCTTTAATTTTAGTCCTATTTGTCATTATATAGGTGTGTGCTATTTGTCATTATATAGGTGTTTGTAATAAAGGGCTTATTTTAATTTCCCAGAAAGGGACGCGATGGGCTATGGCACAATGACACGTAGGGCTATCCGAGCCTGGATTCTATTCATCTATTAATTCAAGTAGTGTATCCACTATCCAGCGTCATGGTCAAAATAAATCATAAGTGCTCAATCATCTTATCACAAGTGCTCATAATAAATTATCATAATAAATCATAAGTTCTCAATTACATTATCACAAGTGCTCATAATAAATTATCATAATAAATCATAAGTGCTCAATTATCTTATCACAAGTGCTCATAATAAATTATCATAATAAATCATAAGTGCTCAATTATCTTATCACAAGTGCTCATAATAAATTATCATAATAAATCATAAGTTCTCAATTACCTTATCAATACTTATCATCAGCTAAATCATCTCAAGCTTCTCAAAACATATAAAATTGAAACAACCAATTTGCCCTAATTTAAGAACTACAACCCGAGTGACGTGTGGGGCTTCGCAAACAGTTGTAATTTTTAACCTTGAAGTTTTGGCTCTTTTCAATTCCTTGAAATCATTCGGCTAGCTCGCTATCCGGGCCAGGTCGCCTCCATGTAATCAGGCTCTTAGAAATGTAAATACATACAAAAATAAGCTTTATATGATTTACAAATGCATAATATATTTACATAATATATTCATCCGCAACCAATTTCCACGTAATTTATCTTTTCTACATTGTTTAACTTTTGGTGTTTAGCACCAAAATATGTGTGTCTGTCATCTTTCTTGATTAATACTATTTGCTACAGTGTCATCAAGTGTTTCTAATGTTGGTTTTCCTTTTGTTTCGGGCTGAAACATTGCTAAAATAGCTGCTTGGAGACAAATTATACCCATAATCCCATATGGAAGAATGGAATGAACACGAATCTGCAAAAAATGAAATATTTCAATCATTCATAACCTTACTATGCTATTTCTTCATTAGCTTAAGAGCGTTCAAAGACGACAGTTTAAAAACAACTATGAGCCAATATGAAGATAATTGAGTTTTTCTTACGCTTCAAATCAGAAGTAGCAGCAACCTTCTGACAGAACTGAACATATCTAAGATAGCATATTTATAAGACGTTGCATTTGCACTTACCAACCAAACAATGTAACTTGCGGCAAAGGAACCAATTCTTGCTGCACCTGATGACGTGCCGATGCCCATTGTCCTAGAACAGGAAATCTTGAGTCGTTATAACTGTATTGCCTCAACAGGCCACAATTGGATATGCATACATACAGTACTAAGTTCAAAGAATGCATGGACTGTGCAAAATTGTTATATTTTTTTATAAGAACGACTGCAAAAATTTTTTCTTGTCTAAATGACGCAACAGTACGAATGTTAATCATTGTTTTTACTTGATTTCTACAACTTATAAGCGCCAAAACTTGATTGCTTTCTAAACTTTAATTTTCAACAAAAAGTAAAGAAGACTTCTTTACAACAAATACCTGATGCATGTCGGGAACAGCTCTGTATGCCATATATAACTTCCAGAAAATGATAAGTTTATAAAAAACTTTGCCAAAAGTGCAAAAAATATTCTTGCCCCAGTATTACCTTCAAAATGGTGAAATTTTTCAAAGTAGTTGAAATTATTTCATGACCAACATTTGATGTTAGGTTTGTGAGCTACAACAACAGTTAATTTTAAGAAATGTTAGCATGCACGAAAAAACAAGTACCGTCATTTGAACGATCTTCTGGTATTATCACGGTTATAATATTCGCAAAAAATGCTATAAGCATAGCAACAATGACCGCTTTCTTTCGACCAAATCTATAACGAAAAGTGATGTTCAAAATGCAAAATTTTAGTTTCAACTAGTGAAATATCCAAAGAAATATTCAAATTTCAATCTTGGATGTACGAAAATTTGTAGCTAAATAAATCTACTGTCACTCTGATACTCTGATTAGTGTCGCTAATTGAAAATTATAGCCTTAAATTACAAATGACGATGTTTTAAATTGAATGCTATATGAATGACACTCGTCAGATGATAAGATGCATGTTTTTGGATTGAGAATGGGAATTGATCGAGCGATTTGTTCAATACTTTTTCTAATTTATCAATGCATGCTGAACACTAAAGTTGTTGATTCATTTGAAATCAACATTTTTTTATCTTGCAAAAACAAACTCATGTTATCATTAAAGTCTCGTAATCAAACACGAGTAGAGGTTAATAAAATTAGTTTACTATACTTTGCATATTATGCGCAGTGAAACACATGTGAATTTCTATGAATAGTATAAGAACAAGCCACTTGAATAATGGTTTTATTATACAATACTTGTTGACAGCAACAATGCACAATAAATTTGATGGTAGCTCCACAAGACTTATTAATGCAAAATTTAGATATCTGTTTCCTCCAAGATCGACAGAGCTATAGGAAACTCCATAGTAAACTAAGGCATTGGCAAATCTATATGTAGACAACAAAAATAGCAAAATAGTTCTCTGTGAATAAAATAGATTGGATCATAATAATGCTTCATAAATAGATCATAAAGAGCAATGTACATACGTCATGTTCCAGCAAATAAGGGTCGTTTTAGTCATTCTTAAACTAAAAAAGAGATCCTTGAAGCTTTTGCATTGTGTTGTGTCTTCACAAATTATTAAATCTTCACTTGGTATTTTTTTCCCATTCAAGCGAGCTACTTTTTCCAATTGTTTTCTTGCAATGTCTCCTTTGCCATGAAGTTGTAACCATCGAATGCTTTCGGGAACAAACCTAAAGAAAACTTTTCTATTTTTAATCCTTGCATTTGAGACTTTGCTGATATGTATGCTTGAGCAATAATAAATTCCTTTTGTGTTCATAGTTTTCCACAAGTGTATATTTTTATAGATTTTTTCATTACTCTTGCAAATATTATGTGATATGCTCATGCACAAATCCTTAACTTACTAAAGCCCACTTTAAAGTTTCTCACACTTTATCCATTAAAACTAACCAAAGTATAAACAAACATGGTATGGCAAAGCAAGCTGTTGCCAACAACATATATCTCCAGTCAGGAATGAGGTAGGCAATCAATGCAAGCACCAATAACCCAGCTACCCAGAAAAGAAACGAAAAAATACCCATCTTTGGTCGATACTTTGCCGTGGTCATTTCAATGATCATGACGTTACTGCTGGCTTGGCGAAAACCTAAATTACAAAAAAATAAAAATAATAACTAAGTGGATGTAATGACGTCTATGCTCCGTCATTTTTTTACCTGAGCCAGCACCAATAATAATGCGACATACAATAAAGACAATAAATGACTTTGGGAAAATCATGATCCATGTAGCGATCGTTATGGCAATTACTCCAGCTATAAATATTTTTTTTCGACCAAATCTATCAGAGAGATAGCCAGCAAACAGCAAACCTAATAGCATTCCAATCCAATAACATGATTGGGCGACTGACTGAAGTATGGATTTATCACAAACAAGATCATACTATACAAAAAATTGATGTTACCAGTAATTATGTGTTTCTTTGAGCACAGAAAGTTATGAAGAATAACTGTTAAAATATGCAACAAAAGTCTTAGTTTCAGTATGATCATTAATTTAAAGAATGCTTATAATTTCTGTAAATCATGGTATCAAAACCCGGTATTTATATTATTATATTTTATATTTTATAACGATTTTCATCTCGTATATGCTTCAGATTCTATACTAAATTTAAAGTGCATTTATTCCTAATCAAAAGTACAATAGTAAAGTTGATGTTTGCTAAAAACGAAGGCATCTTTGTGTTCCCAATTTAAAATGCCAATTCAACACCTAATGCACACAATTTTGAAACGTATTTTTTAAAAAACATATGTACAGGTTTCTTTTGTAGAAAACAATGTTGAACGTTTTCCAGTATTAGCTTCTTCGAAGAACAAATTAAAAATGATTCCATGTATTAAAGTCATGTTTATCAGTTTATTCTTTAATTTTTGCCATTTAATTGCTTATAAAATGCTAAAAATTGTTTTATATGTTTTCTTCATAGGAAACACATTTCGCGTAATTCGTTCACATGATAGATATCAACTTGTTGAAACAAAGCTCCATGATTTATGTTGTAACAAAGCTCCATGTTTTATATTTGTAACAGAACAATACATATACTTGTAAGAGTTTCACTTATAAATTTAAATTTCATCGTGAAAGAAAAGACACTTTTCAAAAATAAGCTTTAAAGTAGAGAAAAATCTTCCAAGCTTCATTGCATGAATAACAAATAAAATGAGGAATTACCTCTGTTACAGTAGATGTAAAGCCTTCTACCGTCCATGCCTCTCTTGGCATGTCACATCTGTCTTTATAATGTTTACTGGTCAAACCAATGGATTTGTTGAAATTACAGATTGAACTATTATATCCTTTCACACATTGCCAATTTGGTTCCGCAGTGATAAATGTGACAACCATTAAAGGAAAGGAAGCAAGGGCAAAATAAGTATAACCAAATAAGATGATCATTAGCCAGTGAAACTTATGAAATTCACCAACTTCTCGAAACGCTTCATCTATTGTCAGGACCATTTCCGCTTTATCTAAAGAAAACTACAAAACTTCATTGAAAATATTCTCTTTCAAATTACTTTTAGTGCAATCATGGTCCAAAGTGCTTTGACATTTGACGTATCGAGATCATTGTTAACCTATTTTTGAATTAATATCTTTTTCATGTAAGAAATTTAAAATTCTACATGAAAGGACACAAAATGACACTTTGTAAATTTGATAAAATATTGATTAACAATTTATTACAGGTTGCATAGCAAATATATGGCTACAATGTATGGCTGCCTACAACGTGCATATAAGCAGATCTTCTTCAGACTTTTAGCTGTTGCTTTTTGAAATAATACATTGCCAGTGCTAGCAATTTCTCTCGTCGTGATGACCTTAGACCTCAAACGCTTTATGCAATGCTTGTACTTTGTCTCGGGTAAAAATTTTCATTGCGTGTTGAATTACTTGAAAAGCTACAATTGATTTTTAGAATAGTTTTTCACGATTTTCTTATACGATCGCCAGCCAGTCGTGACAACACGCAAACATACGCATGTGATTTCGTTGTGAGTACTGTTTTACAAGTATGCAATGATGAAAAATGTATAACTGCGTAACAAATGTATAAGTGTTTTGACATCAAAACCTTCGGTATAATAATATAGTTTATATAGTTAATATAGTTTTTATTTAGTGCAAGCATGTTACAAAGCATTCATACTTTAAAATCTCCTCTCCTTGGATCCTCTGCTCAACACTAAAACTTCTGTAACACGTGTAAAACAATGCTTGCTTATTCTTTAAAAGCCGTAAACTTCTGCTTCTGCATAGCTCCTGCTTGCACCACCAAAGCTTGTCCAATCGAGGTTAGATTATCTACTGAGATATCATTTTTCTGTTGCCAGATCAACTTTCTGTTGCCCCAGATCATCTTTCGCGCTATGCAAAATATTAGCAAACCTTTTGTGTTGCTTCAACTAATGTCACGTCTAGTTAAGGGAAATGCAAACTATGCAATATCAGTTCATTCAGGTGACATGAAAATGGCATGTCGTGAGTGTGGAAACATGAAAGACATAAAATCATGTCTGGCTAACCGTTCAACAAGACAACAATAATGTGTACAGAATTGGCGACACAATTTAAAGTCGTCTATTGAAACAATTGTTTGGTGTTTGTTCATATTTTAGCTTCTGTGGTCTTTTCATAAAATATTGTGGTAAATGCTAAAAGGGAGATGAAAAAACGTACAGTGATTTAAATTCGTGCTCTCTTATTACCAACTACAAACTACCACATAATTTCATAAATATTTTGTAAATGGTAATGCATTCCAAATAAAAGCTCAAAAAGAAAGATTAAAAAGTACACAAAAAGGTTTATTTAATTTTCTCTCCGTGCACTCAGCATGAAATATGTTCTGGTCCCAGCTTGCAATACCAAATTTTTCAAAACAAAAACAAAATGTGCGCTGGCGTTTCAAATTAGCATTCATTTCTTACTATGTTGTTGCTAATTCAGCAATTCATGTCTGTCTTGTAGCCTAGCGACAAACATTTACTTATAAGTTTTTGTTACATACACATTACGTAATTTGCTTTTTTTACGGGGTGGAGTTAAAATACAGAGTTCTCTGACTTTTCCTGTCTTACACAAATGAATATAATCATGGAACATTGTTGTGATGCAAGAATTGCTGATTGTCGGACAATAATACATATCGAAAGAAAAATGAAAGATTCGATCAACAAAATATACAATTTTCAATGATTATTTTGCAGATTCGTGTCCATTTTATGCTTCCATAAGGTATTATGGGTATAATTGTCTCCAAGCAGCCATCTTAGCAATGTTTCTTCCCGAGACGAAAAGGAAATCAACGTTAGAAACACTCGATAACATGCTTCATGAAAATACCAGACAAGTCAAATCAATTGCTTTGATTGATCATCATCATCATATCTTTTCGCGCCAATGGGTGATCCAAACTCGGGCTGTTTCGTTGCATTCCCTGAGATCTTGATCTGTACAGCGGGGACCTTGTGGGCATTCAGAGAGGATATGGTCCATGGTTTGATTGGGATGGCCGCAAGGGCAGGCACCGGTTGGAGTGAGGTTCCATTTGAGCAGAGTTGCAGCTGTTTTTCCCACTTTGGCTCGGGCTCTGTTGAGGGCTACCCATTCTTTCTTTGCAGGTCGGTTCCTGTTGGTAGTTGTTCATGAAAGGGTAGATAGACGAATATCGTTCTGTTTAAGTCCTAGCTTACATTTTTTGATGTGAATGCTGTACTCAAAATTAGCGATTACAATAATTTTGATCCTTTTGAAGGGTTGTTGTTTTAATGATTTCCATAATATTGTATCATGAGATTTCTGTAATATGTTCTTTGAAGTTTTTATAATAAATCACTTGTATATAAACGTTTCCAACGTTTTGAGTTCATTTGTTATTTCTGAACTAAATCAAAATAAAATTGAAAACTCAATTAAAAGTATTAAATTTTTAAAGAGGATGTTGCAAACCGGTCGATGTCTCTGATCAATGTACGTAATTGTGAATTTTATTCTAATCAATGTACGTAATTGTAAATTTTATTCTGATCAATGTACGTAATTGTGAATTTTATTCTGATCAATGTACGTAATTGTAATAAATATCAAACACGTTTGATATTTCGTCGTCACGATTCTCACGAATGACTACAAAACTTCCCCCCCACACTAGGAACTTTTATCGATCTAACATGTTACGAATAGTGATGAGTAAACCAGTGCAACCAAAACTCACAAAGCATATTTGAGACAATTCACGCTTGGCAACTTCAAAACCTAAAGACGAAAACTTCTTGCAGTTTAAACTTGAGTGGCTGGTATATTATTTTAATTATTGTCAGTACAAATATGCTTTGCTAAAAAGTATTTAGTATTTTTTTATTAAATCATTCATTCATTAAGATAACCTTAAATAAATATCAAAAGTTAACGATATGAGAATTTATTCCACAGCTGATATTCTCTCATAGGTGAATAATTTTATTGTCTGTCCAAGTTTAAAATGTCATTTTGCCTTTCTCTTGCCTGTATGTTTTAAATTGCAATTAGGGTATGATAAGAACAGATCTGTAAGCCTGGGTAAGCTGCCTTTAATTTTAAAATATACTAAAGCATTTAATTTCAGATCATGCCAGGGTCGTACCGAAGGGGGTATTGGTGGGAGGGGGAGCGCGGCACCCCTCCAAGTTTATTGTATTACGTAATAATCGGATGATTCCATCTTATTTGGTTTTTCTTTATGCATTTTACATGTGAAAGATTAGGATTTGGATAAGAGGAAAAAATCCTATTTTTTGATTTAGTTGTGTGCCTTCTTTTACCTTGTTGAGCCAAGCTCTCAAATTACGAATTGTCGGAGTAGTGTCGATCGTCTCCAGAACACAAGCCCATAGGACATTTAGATTCTAGAGCTTTATTCAGACGACAGAAATAACTAAGTTATCAACCGAAGATCAGGCTTTAGCTGTTAAATGTCTGAATTTTCAAGGCTTCGTCGACAACGAAACCAGCTTAAAGACTGGATGATAATCGTGATCTCGAATCAACGTTAGACTTGTCTTTCCTGTTATTTTACGAGAAAGAATTTAGCTCAGTCCTCGACACGCTTACCCAACAGTATAAAGAGAACTTAGCAGAATGTCTAAAAAAAATATGGTCTTTATCTATAATTCTCCTGCCATTAAAGAGAAGCAATCATGAAAATGATGATGTTAAGGAGTTACTTTACCACTTCCCCAAACAAACACCCGACGTTCATGGACTCACAGCTGAGTTTGAAATTCTTGTTTGCACAATGTAAGAAAAAAGACAATCAATTAATGCGCAGAAGAGGCTGAAAGATGCTTCTTTTTTTCCCATTGATTATCGTTTTATCGACTAGCTTGTTAAAAAACCTTCGCAATTCATCAAGCGATACTAAGCTGTGTAGTCTTATGCCTTTTGATAAATCCATTTGGACAACATGAGGGCAAAAAAGGGATAAACTATACGTGCTCGACGTATATAGCTTAATACAACAATAAATAAATATTTTTTTATTAAAAATAAATGAGTATTGATCTGCTGTGAGAGAAATTACTGTGTACGTAATCTTTGAAATTACTGAGTATCTTTGGTTGATGTGGGAAAATATTCGGATTTTTAATTATCCATTCGGAAATTTTGGTTGCCCCCTCACTTGTTCGAGTCTCAGTACGGCCCTTGGTAATGCTGCCTGTTCAGTTAAGCTTGTTCCCTCTAAAATGCAATAAATTCTGCATGCCTCTCCTTTTTAGCATGAATCATTATTTTAGAACGGCGTTGCTGTGACAATCTCACTCATGTTCTCAAACTCTTGCATGGTAATTTCATTGATAGCCTGGCTGTTCGTTCTCACTCGTTTTCCTCGAGATAAATGGTTTTTGTATCAGCACAGTCAACATCTTGCATTGCAACCCACCTCTACGGAATTAGCAAGCAATGCAACCCCCGACGGCTGGTGCCCATAATATTCTTTTGTATTTGACAACTAACATGGCGGTCTTGACGTAATATGCAACCCACCTCATTGCTTACAATTGAAATCAAAAAAATATGCAAATTCAACATATAAACACCAAATGCTTCTTGGCAACAAATGAAAACAAACCGCCTTTGACATTAAAGATACAGGTAATAGATACCTGTTCGTCTAGCTCGGCTTCCGTGTGACAATGGCTTGTGTTACGAAAGCTTTCATTTTAATTTTGGTTTTGTTGACAATAGGCGCAACTCTATGTGAAAGCATATCTTGTTTTACTGACAGCTATTGTAAATCTAAATCATTTCTTTATAGAAAATGTTGTAATTTCGAATGCCAATACAGTTGCGACACTTGTTATTCAAAGAGCGAATGCTTTGGCTCGCAAGATTGCTGTTCTAATAAGAAATGTTCGTATGGTTGCATTGGAAAATCTTGTTCATCTAACTCAGACTGTGGTTCGGACGAATGCTGTGATGCCGATGGTACTTGCTCCGTTTATTGTTATAATGGTCTTGCTGGTTGGATTATCGCCGTCATCGTGATCAGTATTATTGTCGTTATCGTTATACCCGTTGCAATTATAATATTTTGTTGTTGTTGTGCTGCTACAGCAGCAGCATCTTCTACACGACGTGTTCAGCGTGGCGAGATAATTGCTGGACCGCCGGCTACAACTGGAACTACAGTCGTTTCAAGCAATCATCAACAAAATCAGCAATACTTTATCCCACAACCGGCGTATTATCCTCAAACTCAAACTTATCCCAATCAACCACCACCACCATATCAACCCTCTCAACAACTTACGGTCGTGGGAATGCCATCCCAGTTGGCAGAAAAAGAGTAAAATGCACAACAGTTATATAGATAAGCTTTATAAAAGTTTTCTCTGTGAGTGAAGAGACTTAAACATAAAACATTACTTACGAACATTTTGCTTGTAAAACTTCCTTTGTACCTTAGATAGTTGTGCCTCGTTAAAAAGTATAATGATATAATTTCAACTTTTACGCCTATTGACTACACAAATATGAATATGCTGAATCATTTTAGGGAAAGCTAATAAGTAGATTTATCACCTATAATGCTTAACAGGTAATATCAATTATTAACAGTCTCAGTGAAGATGTTGCAAACCTTTCAATACGTAATTTTGAATTTTATTCAAAATTTATGATCCATAATTTAATACCAATTATTGCGAACACTATATGTATACTACCAGTATTTGTGCTGGAATGATAAATAAAATGTTTTCATTTGTTTGTACTTCAAGGATATTCTTTAGTTTTTTGTTGGTTTTGGCTGTTCATATGACTTTCCAAATTCAGGCGTGATCCACAGGCTGCCTGTTAAAGTGCAAATTTGATTGATTGTATCTCATTAGAACAAAGTTAGTTGCGATAATTTTAGGTGAACTTGCCAAGGAAGCGACTACACACTACATTAAAATGTCATGTCTTTATTAAAGCAACATTGTTGTCAAT